GAGGTCAGTGCCTGGAATTGAACCCAGGGCCTCACACATGCTAGGCAAGTGCTGTACCACTGAGCTACATTGCCCACCCTTTTTGTCTTTATTCTGAGGTCAGCTCTCACTTAGTTGCCTAGGTTGGCATCAAACTTGTGATCCTCCTGCCCAAGCCTCCTGAATAGTTGGGATGACAGGTGTCTTCCACTGTTCCCAGTTCTCCTTGAGATTTCTAAAAAGCAGAAATTAATACTGTTTTATAAAGAAGAGAATATTGTAATTTAATGAATTACAGAATATATTATTTTTGAAGAGCATAAGCAACCACAGCTACCTTACAGCACCTTTAATAGGAAAACATGTTGCATTGGGCTGGGGATGTGGCTCAAGCAGTAGCGCGCTCGCCTGGCAAGCGTGCAGCCCCGGTTTGATCCTCAGCACCACATACCAACAAGGATGTCGTGTCCGCCGAGAACTAAAAAAAAATAAATATTAAAAAAAAATTCTCTCTCTCTCTCTCTCTCTCTCTCTCTCTCTCCTCTCTCACTCTCTTTAAAAAAAAAAAAACATGTTGCATTAAGCAAAGTCATTTTTAGAAATTTTGTTTACAGATTTATGTTTTGGTCTATAACACCAAATACTTAAGCAGAGACATTACAATATCTTAAAATAGTTAGATGAGGGTAATAGAACTAGTGGCTGCTGACATGAACTGTTTGTTTTGGAGAGAATTCTTGGCATTTTTGCCCTGCATCAGCATAATAAGAATTTGTAGGAAAGAAGGAAAGCACTAATGTATTTGTTGAGGATTAATGACCTTGTAGAGGATTAGTGGGGGTGAATATATTATGGATGGTACCATAAATATAGTAGTTAAAAAGCTGCACACTAAACACTTCGTGGACTGGCAAATGTATTCCCTTTCTTTCCTTGATGACTTGCGTTTAAGTGAACATGTATTGTTTATCTTGATCTCTTTATATTCTCAAGAACACAAAGAGGAATGATAGTCCCCCAAATTTGTTTTGTTCTCAAGATACTGCTGATGAGATGGACGGAATCAAATTCCATGTTTTCAGGATCAAATTACTTTTTAACAGCTCAGAAGAAAAGTCACATAGTACATACTCCTAAAAAAAAAAAAAAAAAAATCACTCTCATTTTTAGATACTATCATTGAACTTATTTCCCGACAAATAGTATAATGTACTGCTGTGTAATATAGAAAATGTGCAGTTTGCTCCGTGATGTCTCAAGGCTCCTGTATTAAAAGAAATACAGTGGCGGGTAACAGAAATGTACATATTGGGACAAAGACATGGACCTGAAACCAAGGTGAGTTTTGGGGGCAGCGAAGCCTGATGTTCATCTTGTTGCTCCAGTGGGTTGAACCTAAGCAGGCCGCCTTGTGCGTGAGCATGGGGAGAAGCACCATGCTGCTAAGCCAGCGAGGCTCACAAAGGTGGCGGATGGGGCAAAGTTTTCATGAGCTCCCAAATGTTGGCACCTACCTGTTTCCCCATTTAATAGGCCTCCTGGTTTTCCTAATTTCTGAAACCTCTAACTTATGAATTCATGAAGATTTTCTTCTGTGAAAAATAAATGTAGCTGAATGTGATTTACAGCTTTGCTTTGAGTCAGGGTAGGACAGGAAGATACCTCTGTAGTCACCGTTTAATTGGCCTTCTTACCTCTTAGTTGTGAAAATTCTTTACTCTGTACTGGTTTATAGAGTCCACACTTATTGACTGCTTGCTATAGCCCATGCCCCCAGGGAGACGAAGATGAATGGCCCAGTTTGTTGACATCTGAGGCCTTTGGAACCATCTCTATCCTGGTTGACTTCAATGAAAATTCCACAGATGGCCTAGATCTCACTCACTAACACAGAGACAAACCCTGAGGCAGCCCAAGGGTTTTTGAGATCACAAAGGCTGCCCGGAGGACATAAAAGCTGCTTTTCAAGGTATTTTCCCCTGCATTCGGTTTCTGAGGAACTATGCTCCTTTTGCCATTATTGGGATATCTTCCAAGACCTAAGTCAGTGCACCCTATTTCTGGATTCACCAAAACCCCAGGAGGAAAAGTATGGAGGAGCCTGAAGTGGGAAGGTCTGGCTGCAGTCTTAGGAGGCACTTTGCTAGGTCATCCAGGGGCAGGGGCTGCTGCAGGCTCCACTCTGCCCTCCTCCTCGCCTTAGCTTGCTGGTGTCTGCCTCCCTCTCTTGTTCATTAGGTCCGCCATGCTAGGAGGAAATCTGTGAATTGGCACATCTCTAGGAGGCTTTATAGAATGGTGGTAATGGTTTTGCTTAATGAAAGTATATGCAGACCTTTGGAAACTTTGCACCCGAGACCTGAGATCATTTGGGGACAAGCCTGCTTCCAATCTTGTGTTTATATACTTTTTTTTTTCTTTTTGATACTCTGTTATGAGTGTTTACCCTAAAATGCCCTTTTCCACTTCATATGTACTGGTATGTGTTTGTTGACCTTAAAACAGGATTGGACTGCTTTGATTTTTTTTTTTTTTTGGCAGCGGAATAGCATGCTAGAGACTAAGAATCAAGATCTATATCCTCAAAGTATTTGCTTGTCACCCCGAAAGAGCCTTGCCGTCTCTTTTCAAGAATGTTGATGTCATTTGGTTTATCGCCACCCACTCCCCAGGACTATTAATTGTGAACTGACTATAACTAGATCTCATCTTTGTGTTCCTTGTCACACCACAGGGTTGGGGATTCTCCTCCTTCTCCAAGGTCAGCCCCTTGGTCTGTACTCCGGACCTTTCTCTGTGCCTCTTGAGATCTGATTAATCCTTCCCTCCTCCCTCTGGTACTCCCCTCTGCCTTGCCCTCCCGAGTCCCTCAGTCCAAGGGAATGTCCTTCTCTGAGCACTTAACTCTTGGGAGCCATCCATCTCCTTACCCTGCTCTGTCAATCTGATCTTTCTGCCTCCTCCACCACTTCACTGAAATGGTCCTCGATCGAGGTGACCTACCGGTGATTTCTTAAATGTCAAATCCAATGCTGTATTTTTCATTTTTTATCTTTCTCACCTCTTTGTCCCTCATGGTACCTCTCTGCCATTCTTGGTTTTCTTCAAAAGGTCTTTTCCTGCTGCCTGTTCTGTCATCATGTTCTCTAGGGCTCTGCTTATGCCAGTCCTGTAACCTTCTCACCCAGCTCTGTTCCTCCAGGGACACCCCCTGCTGATGGGGTCTGTGCTGCTTTCTGGGTGAGAACCCCTTATGTGCCTTTATATTTTGCTCAGATTTCTTCCTCACCTTCTCACCCAAGAATATCTGGATATGGGATGGGATTGTGTCTCAGTGGTACAGCCCTTGCCTAGAATGTGTGAGGCCCTGGGTTTCACCTTCAGCACCACATAATAATAAAAAGAAAAAAGGTGTTGTGTCCATCTACAACAACACAAACCCCTCCCCCCCAAAAAATATCAGGGTACACTCTGCCTCACTCTTCTACACTCCAATATCTAATGCCTCAAACTAAACTTTTGTTTTCCTTATTCCTTCTGTATCCTCTACCTCAGTTGTCACTACCATCCATCTACATGAGTAGTCTGTCCGCCATGTTGTTCTGCTTTTAGCTTCTGGGTGTTTCCAAGTACTAATTCTTCTTTCGCCTTCCCCGCCTCCTACTACTGCCCCGTCTCCACCCTGCTCTCTGATGATTGTAACAACCAAAGGGGCCCCACCGCACACCTGCCCTCCTCTGGCCCCTGCAGATCTACCCAGGGCAAGGACTGCTTCTGAAGCAGACTAACCCATCTGTGGTTGTCTACAACCAGGATAAAGTCAGCCCCTGCCCCCCGCCCTGCCCCAATAGATGAACAAGGCTGCACTCTGCACGCTGCGGCTTCACCTACTCCATGTAGTTTCTAACCTCTGCCTTTTCCATTGTCTCGTCTCCCAGCCTTGGGATGCACAGGTATCCCATTTTCCTGGAAGAATACCTGACCTCTCCATTTCTGCGCTATGTACCCTGGCTTGACACAAATTATCCCATTCATTCAACTGCCCCAGGGGACCCAGTTTATGTGTGTCCCTTGGCCCCACTGGTCTTCACTTTCCTTAGAGACAGTGATGGAGGCCTTATTCTTCTTTGTAGCTCAGGTGCTTAGTACAGTGTTTGACATATAAGGCATGTGTGTTTTTTTTTAAACTAAAAATTTGCAATGACAGTGAATCAGTTTGATGTCTATGAAAATGGGCAAAGTGATCTATGCAGAGGCATTACCTTTGGAAGGGGACCATTAAGGGGCCTCTGCTATGCAGAATTTATGAAAACTAATTGAATTGGCACGTGTGTGTGCTTTTTTATGTTTATGTTATACTTTAAAAAATTTTTTTATTCATAGATGGACACAACACCTTTATTTTATCTATTAATTTTTTTATGTGGTTCTGAGGATCAAACCCAGTGCTTCACACATACTAGGCAGGCGCTCTGTCACTGAGCCACAACCCCAGCCTCATATTTATGTTATAGTTCTATGATAAGTTTGTTTTTTTAAATTAGTTTGCTGTGTAACCTCTCCAATGCAGAAAATCTCCTTCCTTCCTTTTAAGCTTTTAGAGGATTAACAGAATATTAGTGCAGGTATCACAATAAAGAGCCACACTAGTGCTGTCCCTTGACATGAGGAAGAAGGAGATGAAGAGGTATCAGGGAAATGTGGGTGGGATCACCCAGACTTCTAAAGAGGGCCACTGAGGACCAGCCTTGGCCGAGGGACCTGGGGTGACCTGCCATTCTGTCACACTCTGGGGGCACATGCTCATCACCAGCAAGCCCCATGTCTGCCTGTAATGACAGGAGACTTCATCTCACATTGACCATGAATAATTCATAAACATGGCTATCTGGAAATTTGTGGTCATCATTAGCATTTTAATGAGAAAAAAATATGTGATCATTATCCTAAGTCTCTGTTTTGTTTCTCTCTTTCTCTTTCTCTCTCTCTCTCTTTTTTTTTTTTTGTCTTCCCTACCACAGCTAACCAACTCAATATTTCGTGAGTACTTGGAGCAGTTGAGGTCCCTGCTAATGTGCTGACTGTCACTATGGGCAGATGGTACCTGGAGGCTCACTGTCACCCAGGCAGCTCCTGTACGTAAGGGCTTGTGTGCTCATTTGTGCTTGTGCCCTCTCCCTTTCCCCCTCCCCCCCCCCCCCTCCCCTCCCCTCCCCTCCCCTCCCTTCTCCATTGTAGAATATTGCAGGGTAGGAGCCTGAGCCACTGAAGGTTTATAAGATTTAAATGAGAATATTTAGAAATGCAGGACAATGAATTGCTCTAGGGTAGGTTTTTGATGGTGAGAAATGTTATTTAAATGAGGATTTTCATGATCAAGGGATCCTGTAAAATCAAAAGATCAGCCACCTCCCTTTTCTGTTTCTATGCACCCATTCCCATACAGGCTTTTTTTTTTTTTTTTTTAAGTCTTTTCCTTTTTTCCTCACAACACATGTTAGTGTTTGAAATGATAGTAATGCCATAAATTAGAAACACATCCTAGTAATTGTTTTTATTCCTCTGAAATTAAAAAAGAAAAAAAGAAATTCGTGGATCCAGAGAAGTGCCCTGGGTCTGCCTCTGTTCTGGGTGTATCCTCTGGAGAGCCTTGGCTATTTCTCCACATTCTCCAAAGGAGGATGGTAGCGGTTCCCTCTGAGATGACTTTTCTGTGCCTCAGGACACTGGGTTCTTCCAGCAGTCTTTCTGGTGGTTGTGGTTCTTCTGTTTGTCTCTACCCTTAATCAATTTAGGAAAAGAAATTCCTTCCCATCTCCTTCACTCACATAAAGGGTGGTTGTCTCATTTACTCTTTTTGTTCCTTGGGGCTAGCTCTGTGGATAGTCCTTTGTTTTTCTTGCTTCCTTTTGCAGCTTCTGGAATTCTGGCTTCTCCAGGTGTACGGAGGGCCATTCCCCACAGTGCTTTTGCTCCCATTGTCTTTCTCTGGTTATATCTACTCATGTTCACCTTTTGTTCCTATTTCTTTATACAACTCAGGGTTTCCCTTCATAGAAAAGTCAGAAACACACTCAAGCGCTCACCCAGACAATTGCTTATAAAATGAACCAGATGGAGGGCAAGTGCTTACGACAACAGAGCCGGGATTCAGATCAGCTTCCAGCATGAAGGCCGGCTGTGTTGAGGTTAATTCAACACTAGGCTTTAATCTCTCCAAGAGCATTATTGTTTTACTCTAAAATCAGCCATTGTCTTAGCATTACAGAATTAAGTTCACACCTGCATACTGTACATGAGTGGTGGGTGATCGATGGCCCATGGGCCAGATCCAGCCGGTACCTGTTTTTGTAGAAGCTGAACTCATTTTATTTTTATATTTTAAATGGCTACACCGACATAATCTCTGTTTTTTCCCTTATGGCCTTTAAGGCCTAAAATGTCTGTGATCCCATTTGGAAAAATTTGCCTACCCTGCTGTAGAGGAAAGCTGGAAGGCTTGTTGCAATGGATTCATGTGACTCGTTAGCATTTGACCTATAGAAATGCTAAATCCGCATGGTTCATTCTAATATACTTTGAAGAAATTCTAATTTCAGAGTGGTTAGGATTCTAATATGTGGGCTCTTGGAGTGGAAGAGCTGACTTTTTATCTGGGAAATTCACACATGTGGACATCTTGGGGACTCGCCCATCCTCTGTTAGCCAAGTATCTTTCCAGAGCTACCTGGAGGGCTCTAAGGTAAGCTGTGCCTTCCAGGAGTTTCAAGGAGCTCCTGTTTCCCACCTGCTTATTTCTTACCAAGAGCTCTCTGGGAGAAAATTGTCCTTTTTTACCTTACTTGGGCCTGATGCATCTGGCTGTCCTTGGATTGGAGATGGCTCTGGTCACTGCCTGAGGCCTCTGCTGAGGTGGTCACTTGCACCTGCTTTTACCTGGGAAGGGGGCGTGGCTGTGTCTCCAAGGGAGCACGTGTCCTAGTTGCTGGAATGTCATTCCCCAGAACTAGAAGGTGGCCCGGCCCTGCTTGCTTTCAGTGTTGTTCATCCTTAGCCTGATCCATGGCCACCATCATTTATTTTTGTGTGGGTTGTTTTGGATTCTTTCTCTCCCTCCTCTGGACCTCATTTCTCCAGACTGTTCAATAAGATTTGCTCCTTGAAACCTGCAGCCATTCATAGCTGTAGAGGACTTTAACCTCAGCTGCTCTCACATGAGACAAGAAAGCTAGGATGACTCAGGGCCTCTGCGCCAGGCCCATTTCTGAACAGGTCACAGTGTACCCTGAAGAAGGGAAAGTATTTCGGGGGAAAAAAAATCTGTAGAGTTATAATTTTACCATCAGTGCGGTCCGAGCCGTTAGTGAAGGGCTGGCAGTACGCACTGCTGCACTCTGGGTTGTTTTTGAGGGTATCAAATTTGAGCGTGGAGTTTCTTTTTGTTTGGGGATCACCATTGCCTTTCAGTGCTGTCTTCTTGTGGGACAAGGTGCTGTTCTTTGAGGAATGTGAAATGGCATCCAGTGAAGCACCAAAATAAGTAAATAGCTGGAGCTGACCTTTCCAGACTCTTTGTACAGATATTTAGGCTAGTGTTAAGGCTGGAGTTTTGAAAGTATGCCAAGAATTGCTAATAAAATTGCACCCTTGTTTGTTTTTGATTGTACCTATTCCTTCCCTTGAGTTATTCCTGCTCTGACCTTGGCCGTCAAGGTCTGGCCTGGTGCAGTAGCCTCCCAATCTCTGGCCTGCAGCCTTTCTGCATACACATTTGGTTTTTGCAGAGTTGCCAAATTAATCCAATGAGGAACATCTCTGATCACACCACTCTCCACTGATTTGGGCATCCCCACTGGTTCAGGGGCTCAGTCTGTTTGAGTCCTCCACATTTTCTTTTCCCTTCCCTTTATTATTAATCCCCTTTCTCATGAGTAACAATTGTTATTTTGTTGTTTGCTTTATTACCAGTCAGTTGATGTCCCATGGCAGCCTGTGTTGGCTGCTCTGCCACACACACCCTTGCTTTGGGCTGCTCCCTTTCTAGAATGCAGAGCCACCCTTTTTCAACTGCTAAAGTCCAGTGCTTGGTTTAGGGTGCAGCGGAATTTCCCATCTTCCTAGGGAGCTTTCAATTCTGCCAGCCAGGCAGCACAGGCTCCTGCAGCTCCATTTAAGAGACTTAATCCCCTCCTGAAGCTGTGTCTCAAATTATCTCTTGACATGTCTGTGTACTTTGAACTTGGACCCTGAAGTCTTATTTCCCTCCTGGGTGAGTGAGGACAGCATCTCATCTACACTAGATGCTCAAATATTTGTGGAGTCACCTTGGGCTGAGGGTTGGGACTGGATCATACCTGCCCTTAGTAGGTACCTATAAAGCACTTTCCAGCACACTCCCAGAGCCTGTGTGGGCCCAAACCTCAGGGATTCATCAGGGCACAACCGCATACAGCATCAGGGGCTGCTCACCCCCAGCTCTCTCTGCCTTTCCCTCCCTCCCACTCGGAGAATGGGTATTTCCTTTCTTTTTACTCTTATGAAATTACTATTCACAGAGTTTAAACAGCAACAGGCACAGAAGATTGCTTTCTTGGACTTCCCTCCTTGCTCTCACTGCTGAAAGCCGATGGTCTTCTTTGAGGCACCACCCTGCGCCGCACCCTGGGTCCTCCTCTGTTTACTGGCCACGTTGCGCTTCAAAGTAGGTTAACTTGGAAGAGTTCCTTTTATGATCCCTGTTTCACCAATGGTGAAATTGAGGCTTGAAACAATAAAGGAACCTGTTACAGTTTGAGCGTAGGTTTTCCTGGCTCCCACCCCATCTGTGTGTCACCCCCCACTCCCCCAGTGACCTGGCATTGACTTACTTAGGTGACACCCACTCGACCTGTTCTCCACAATGTTGCTTTTGGTAATATGGGTCTCAAGGCCCAAAAGATTCAGCCAGAAAGGATCCTAACATCTGTCTTGTGTTTCTTCTCTTATTCAACTAAACCCAGTAACTGCAGCCAAGCTAAAGACCCTAAGAGAACACTTCACACAGGAAGAATAACAATAAATACAGGCACGGGAATAACACTTTAAAACATGACGTAATACACGTTTCATATAAGAAATTAAAAGGGAATCCATTATCACAATCCTATATCCCAAGAAATGACTGCCTTATAACACTTTGTTGAGTCCCACTCTGTGCTTCAAATGTTCTCTCTTAATAAGGTTATTCATTCTCTGTTGACACCAATAATTGGATAATGAACACAATGTTTACTCCACAAAGGGTCATAGCCCCCGCCCCCCTTTTTTATGGTGCTCTAGATCAAACCCAGTGCATCACTCTACAAAGCACATTTACTCTACCCCTGAGCTACACCCCTGCTCCATAAATTTATTTTGCCAACCAGTCCATTTACCTTTAAAGTGACTCCAAGCAGGTGTGGCTTGTGGTGCACTGATTACCGGGATGTTCCAAGGGGAGACTGATACCCCTTGTAGGAAGCAGGAACTTCTGGTCAAAAACTGCTGGTTAGGACAGAAAGCCGACTTTCCCTCTCCAAGCGCTGGTCTCAGTGGCACACATCTATAACCTAGTAACTCAGGAGACTGAGGCAGGAAGATCACAACTTTGAGGCTAGCCTCAGTAATTTAGTGAGGCCCTAAGCAACTTAGTGAGACCCAGTCTCAGAATGAAAAATAAAAAGGGCTGGGGATGCAGCTTTGTGGTAAAGCTCCTCTGGGTTCAATCCCTAGTGCAAAACACCAACCAAACAAAACACATGAGACATCGGTCTCAGCTGTCAGTTTGAAAGCACTGGCCTAGAGACCTCGTGATATTGGAATGTGAGCTTGGGCAGAACTGGGGGTTCGGGCAAGGATTAATGTTCTGCACTCATACGGGATATAAGGAAACATTTGGATTTTGAATTAAAACCAGGACTCCAAGAGCCATGCTCAAGATTGTGAACCGCCAAGTGAGTCTCATGGCCCAGAATGGCTAGGATATGACCTGGGAGGAGAGGAGCTCTGCCCTGGTTTGCCCAGTGCAGTGGCAGCTTTGTACGGTCATCTGCCCAGGAATCCCTGGGAGGCTGTGGTTTTAGTAATAAAATTCCATGAATAAGGAGTAGGTTTGAGA